GGACGGCCCTGCAGCGGGGAGGGGGGCCGCGATCCTGTGCGCTAGGCGGGATGCCCAGGCGAGCTATTTGCCCCAAATCCGGAACAATAGAGGTGCTTTACTCCGTAGATCCCCCGGCTCCCGGGCTTGCTTTGTGTGGCGTCTCTCTCTTCTCCGGCATCTCTCCCCGCCACACGCACACGCACACGCACACACACCGTCCCCATCCCTAGAGTTAACAAAGTGGCAAGAAATGCGCTTTATCTTTCTCCGAGCGGGAGCCGCCGATCTTTAAATGTGTGTGTGGTGTGTGTTGCGTGATGATCCCTCTGGTTTCACTGCGCCCCCCCCTCGTCGCCCTTGAACAAAAAGAACTCCGTATGTTTTTGCGGCGGAAACTGCTTGCGGCGCCCCTTCGTTTGCTGGGCAAGGCTTCCCTCTGCCCTTGGATGGCCGGAGGAGCCTCCCAATCTGGTCGCGCAACCCTCGCGGGCTTCCTCGGGAGTAACGGGGAAAGCCGGCCGAAGTTGTTACTTAACGCGCTCCCCACACACCCCATCACGGTAGCGCGGTGCGCGTGTGAAAAGGATCCCCTTCGGAGCAGTCTTGGGCTGATATCCTTGCAGTCGGTCGGCAAACCGGGAAAGAAACATCCTTCAAATGTGAAAATCACGTTTCTAAAACATAGCAGGGTGGGGTAGTAGGGACTCTGTGTACAGTATATATGATGCCATTTGACATGGATTTTTAAAGAAAAGAATGTGAAGAAGCTTAAAATGGATGAGACTGCAGTTTGTCCTGACAGGTGTTTCTAGGTTAGACAGCGGTGGAGAGTCTCTTTGAGTGCCCCACTTCCTTTCTGCAAACTTTTAGCCCAGAACTTACTCCTTCGGTTACTTTTGGAATGGGGGTGGAGGGAATCTAGAGATTCCCAAAGGGGACTCTTTGGATGGAATTGCCATCACTTCAAAAGGTGCTAAGCCAGCCCTGCTGGGGCCTTTGGGGGTCCTTTCTGCTCCTTTTGCTGAGTGAGGCCCTGGGTATTTCCCCCAAAATCCCATCCTGATTATTTCTTTGGGCTCTTTGCAATCCCCAGCTCAGCCCTAGAACTCCTGAAACAAGAATTTAAAGAAGTTTCCAGGGCAGGAGTCAAGATGGTCTCTAGGATGTGACTGCAAAATCTACAAATAGTCCTGGAGCACCTTGAAGACTACCTAGTTTTATTTGCTCTAAGCTTTTATGGACTGCAGCCCACTGCAAAGGAGAAAGAGCATGCCTCTGAGCATGTGCAAAGGTGTCGATATATAATCACAAGATTCCATGCCCATCTCTGATCACCTTAGCTATCCCTACCCCATATTTCCCACCCCTCTCTTTTCTTCCCTACCTTCCTTGTCTCCCCTACACCTGAAACATTAAGACTGTATACTACGGGGTGGGGGGGCATAGACTGACCTTTTTTAAATTTTGCAAAGCACTGCCTGTATTGTCAGTGCAATGAAAACAAGAATGATAATGAAGAAAAGGTTAGGAAGATTGTAAACAAGGAGCAATGGCTTAAACACCTTGCTTGTTTTGAGAAACTTGATTTGAACTGGCTGACACTCTGTGTTTCTCAGACTTGTAGAACGATTTGCTCTTCTTAGCTCCCAAGCAGCTTCAGTGCAGGATTTGCAGTGCCATTCAGGGTATTAAGATGCAAGACTCCCTCGGATGTTGCCAGGGAGTTCTCTTGAGCAAGGGAGTGAGAGTTGTAAAGTCAGAGTTTCAGTGCAAGAATTTTAGACATTGATCTTAAGAATTATATAAGGGGGGGGGACTCTTTAGATGGTACTGTGTATAATGTTACTTCAGACCATCGTAAGAGAGCCATGCTGCATTTGGAGTCCCCTTGCCTGTATTGTGAAGTGGGGCCCTGGGTTTTCGTCTGAAAATCTTGCCTTGTACAATCCTTGTTTACTTTGATGATGCTCTTCTTGCACAGTTCTGAGTTTCCGTCTGACAGGTCAGCAGTGTTGGTAGTCTCTGTGAAAAATAACAGAATCATGTGACATTTTCGGGACTAAGAAATGTATTGTAAGATGAGCTTTCATGGACACACAACCCACTTCTTCACAGAGCACATCTCTGTGTAGGTATTGTCTATATCCTTCCCACTATCATATATGCTGTAAATATTTCCAGTATTCCAAAAAACTCCCCCCCCCATGCATCTGTGGACGTGGGCTGCATGTCTGTGAACGCTCATGTTATGATAAATTTGCTAGTCTTAAACATGTCATGTGGCGCTTTGATAATTTCAGTATAAACTTATTTATTTTATATTAAAAATAAATAAACTTGTTTATTTTATATTTGTCCTGCCTTTCCTCTGAAGAAGTCGAGGTGGAAAGCATGATCCTCCCCCTCCTCATTTTATTCTTAGAACAACACTATGAGACAGATATAATAATCATGTCTCATCAAGTCAATTTTGGTCAATGGTGATCCTCTTCAGGGTTTTCTAGGTAGAGTGCTTTACTATTCCCTTCTTCTGGGGGTGCCCTGGGACTGTGCAGCTTGCCCAAGGCCACACAGGCTGGCTGTAAGCCAACAAAATCACCCAGTGAGCCCCATAAGCCATGCAAGTGCCACTAGGGCAGGACTTTGGAATGAGTATCCAGGCCTTTTCATTCAACAGAATGAGCAGGAGGCAGCAGGGTCAAATTACCACATTCTGCAGAAAGTGAAAAATTGCTTGTATGAAGAAAGCAACAGGATGGGTGTAAGACAGCTACATTCAAAGACTGAAATTTCCTAACTGCAACCCTAACTCCAGCTGTGAATGATGTAGAGCAGTAGTTCCCAACTCTCTCTCTCTCTCTCTCTCTCAATCTCTCTCTCTCGGGACAAAGCAGTGGCAGGTCATGACACTGTATATAAAGAAGAGAAGCAAATTAACCATACTTGTGTTATCTCCCTTTAAATAAATACTGTTGTTACTTCAGCCCCCAGTAATGCAGTGATGAAAAACAGTACCCTATTTTACTATTCTTTTCTATCCTAAGAATCCTTGGGATAATATATGTGAAGGGTAGGGGACATTCTCAGGTGATGAACCTTCCCATGTCAGTGAGGAATGAAGAAGCCATATAAATCATAAATCTATTCTCAACAGCTTCTGTTCTAGTAATCAGTAACTGCTAATATGCCTTGACAAGGTGGACCCAGGACAATTTTACTACTTGTGTCAAAGAGCAAGATGAGAACTTTCTCAACCTGTATACAGGAGGCCAGTAGACTGGAATACCTACGCCAGTACTGGGGATGGTTCAGCATTTTCTGCCATACCTGAGGGCACTAGGCTGGCTTAAGTGGGCACAAGGCAGAGAGAGCCTTAGAGGGCACTAACCAGGGAAAGGCCAGAAAAATAGTTGGGAGGCGGTGCTACTGTGGCTCCCAGCATCTGCTACTGAAGGGGTTACTTTAGTCTGTCCAATGGTAGGGCCAGCCCAGTGCCTTGAGGCAGCTCAGCCTTGTAATTAGTCTTTAAAAAAAAATAAAACAAGGAAGTACTTCCAAATAGATATAAGCCAATTGTAACTTTCCTTAAATTTTTGGCAGTGGTCTTTTAGAGTCCAGAAAAGGTATTTTCTGGAACTACCATCTCCCAAGATTTCCCAGGTAGTACGGCCAGCTGGAAGAAAGATCCTGGGCGTTATGGGAATAAAATGAATAAATTATCTCAGCTCTGAATTCTAGTCTTACTTACTTGGGAGTAAGCCTGAAGAAGGTGAACAGGACTTACATCTGATTAATAATGAGCATGTAGATATTTTTCATTTATATCAGGGTGAGGTTGGGTACTAGTTCCACACTTCTTATTTTTCATTCTTGCAAAAATTGAGCTAAATTAACAGCCTCGATAAGGAACAGACAATTATATGCAGCTGCATCCCAAAATGAATTTTAGTTACCCCCATATTCTATACTTCTGTCATCAGAAGGGCTTTGCTATTTGGTATGGAAACCAGTAACTAACTCACCTCCTTTGGTCTGTGAGGATGCTGAAGTTGTTTCCTTATTCCCTGTTCTCACTTCCTAAAACATCCTCTCATTTTAAGAAAATTGGGACAAAAATACCTAGTACACTTTTCAGAATTAAGAACACATTGCTCACGTAGTGTTAGACCTTCAGTTTGGGGGAAGGTACAGCTTTTTCAGTGGATGGGGAATCCCAATGAAAAGCAGTTCATTTACAGAACCTAAATGAGTTACTTCTTTGAATTACGGTGCCCAGAATCCCCCCCCCCACTGCTTGGCAGGGGAATTCGGAGAGCTGTAGTCCAGCAGAGAAGTAACTTTTTCCAAGCTATGCAAATTTGTGACTTCAGCTAAGATGTAAGTTGTACTCGGGTTCAAGTGCATGGATGTGTATTTGATGAAATACCCAGCAGGGATCTCAAGTGCCTGGATGTGTATTTGATGAAATCCCAAGTCCTGATATAAACTCATCCCTGCTGGGTATTTAATCAAATACACAAAGGAAATGTAGAGTGCTCGGTGGTCTTTTTCAAACATGTGAACCAAAAAAAAAGAGAGCACTCCTTGCATGTGCAAAGAGCCTTCTCCCTTTCACTATTGAAAACAAAAACAACATACAAACCAACCCCAAACTGCACACCCAAATCTGTAT